CCTCTTATTGATCTATTCTTTTTCTATAATAAGATGTGTATTCATTTTTCCTTTTATCAGTTGTCCTTAAACTGCCTATGATGATAGATCCATCTGGGGGCTTGTGGGGGGAGGGTGAGTTCTTTTTTCTCTTTAGTAAATGCAGGTGAATCAGTCACTCAGGATTTAAAATTGGTCCTTGTTTTTGTTTTTTTTGTTTTTGTGGTACGCGGGCCTCTCACTGTTGTGGCCTCTCCCGTTGCGGAGCACAGGCTCCGGACACGCAGGCTCAGCGGCCATGGCTCACGGGCCCAGCCGCTCCGCGGCATGTGGGATCTTCCCGGACTGGGGCACGAACCCGTGTCCCCTGCATTGGCAGGCGGACTCTCAACCACTGCGCCACCAGGGAAGCCCTTGGTCCTTGTTTTTAAGGACCACCAGGTACAGGTTTATTCACAAGTGTGCAGAATTATCTGGGAAAACTCTTAGGGAGGGAATTTTTTTTTTAAGTGCTAAGCTAGGAGTTGCACTTAGACGTCCAACAAGAAGCACTAGACAGAATGTCTCTCCCGGGATATGTCCTACTTCTTCTAAAACCTGTTGTTGGGCCCATGAAATACTTTGAACTGCTCAGAACAAAAATGTAATACAAACACCAGGTAGTGATAGTGTCGTTCATGATCCTATTTTTGCAGCTGGAGACTAGAAGTATTTGAGATGAGGTTCAGCTGAGGTTCCCTTATTGGAGAAGAGTTACCTAATCAGGCTTTAAACCACATCAGAGTGTGAGCGTGTCAGGCAAGGTGACAAGTTCATAGCAAATGTTAAGAAAAGATACAGTGTTATGACATCTAGTATAAAATATTATTTGATAAAAAGAGTATGATTTTTCCTAGTTCAGTAGCTTTCTGTTTACCTTCTTGATAGAATGTGCCGAAGGTAGGCCTTTGGAATCTGAAAATCACATTAGGACTCAAGAATCTCCTGAATTCTGTTGCAAGCAAAACTCAACTGGGTTGAGAGAGAGAGAGCGTGGGCACGAAAACTGTATGACCGTGAGGACAGAACCTGCCACACTCGGCTTCCCGATCCAGCTGTCAGAGAACCACCTGACAAGCCACTGTGTGTACATTCATTTCACCTTTATGGGTCCATGTGGAGATGGTATTCAATAGTGATTGATAGCATACTATCATAGCCAAGTGCAGCTGGTTTGAATTGTAGCTCTACCACGACCTACCTATATGTCCCTGAGTTACTGTGTGGAACTCAAAGTCTCACTTTTGTCATCTGTGAAATGGGAATAAAAATTTTACCTCTATCATGTGATTTTTTTTAGATGACACAATGATAGTGCATATACAACATACAGTACCTCTCCCTGGCCAAGTGTTCACTAAATGTTGGTTATTATTTTGCGGTCATCAAAGGAGGCAAAACTTCCTTACAGGAAAAGATGATACCTACAGGACTCCCCAGAAAATCATGTACGTTGTATTGCCTTGAAAGGTCATGGTTAACTAGCCACGTTTTGCAGGCATTTATAAATGTGACCTTTTAGTGTATATTGTTATTCAGGGGTAACTGACAGTAATTCCAGGAAGAAACCTGAGGGGTATGTGGCATAACTCCTGGAGGCTCATTATGAGACTGGTGGTCACCGGGCTCAGAGTTGAGAGAAACTGCTCTTTTTTTCTAGGTTGGTTAGACTTTTGGCCTTTTTGATTATTATTTGCCCCAAATCTTTTGGTGCTTTGGCAGTGAAAGGGGTATTGGTTTTCAGAGGCCACTGGAGTGTGGGTCCAGGGTAATTGGCAGGAGGGGGTAAGTTTTAGGAGGTCCTATGTTACCATTGTGGACTGTGGCGCTCACGGCACAGGGCACTCTTCTTTCACTCTGTATGTGGTTTACCCCACGTTTGATGACTTCTTCATTCCTACATCATCCCTGTGAGCATAAATACAAATAGGTCATGAAATGTGAATCAGACTTTCCCCTAAATAAAAGTCCTCTCAGGATACTAGCCACTTAACCTATGGCTATTTCCTGAGCTATAATTAATTACCCTCCCACAGGTAGGAACACCACTGATTCAAAAATCCATTGGTTTCCCATATTATCTTTCTCCCTTTATTTTGGTGAAATTCAGGAAATTTTGAAATTAAATCATTTCTGAAGTTGTACATTATCAAATGTCACAGTAAAATTATCTGAATGCCTCCTCTCCATGTGTAGTTTCAATTTCCTGAAGGTCATTTCTCCCTTCTAATTACAAGCACTCCAAGAAGAATTAGTTTGTGCAACTCAGCATGAGAGCAAGTAACTCTCATTTCTTCAGGCTGAGTTGAATGCAGGAGGCTTCCTGAATCTGCCTGAATACAACTGCTTAAGCTACAAGATAAGTGTTTCCTGTTCTGTTATTATTATTCTATTTTTAGAGCTAAGGGTCACTAGGGAAATGGTCTCCCAGTGACCAGAACCTTGTGCTTGATATTTCTAAAGGAATTTTGCCCTGGTGATAGGTAACAGGGAAGCTTGTGTTGTTTCTTTTCTTTTCTTTTTTTTCCCTGAAGGATAACATTTAAAATGTGAAAGGTTTAACTGTGTGTTAAATGTTATTTTAAAATTACAAGGTTGAGTTAGACATATTTATCACATCCAAGTGTACTTTTAGGGGTCTTGCTGTTTGCTCATGAAAAAATAAAAGCATACATGTTCACTTGAGAGGATTTTGCTTTCCCATAAATAAGGGGCTGGAATGTCTTTCCAGACTGAGCTTTTCTGTTGTTTTCACCCCTCACCCAAGTAACTACACTGGAAAAGGGAATGGAGATTAGCATCGCATTTCAGGCAGAGCTAGAACGTCTTATGTTGAGAGTAGCATTCAGAATTTTCCCTGGACTCATTCTCCTAATTTTCCTGACTGTAATGCATGGACTCTGTTAAATTTTGTTGTGGATTCACTATTAGGCAGCTAAGGGCCAAATCATGCCAACTGTTTTGGAAGCAAAACTTCCGTGCCTCCTGGGATCCATCACACAACCTCCCTCCCTTTATTCAGAGTTTTGTGCCTTGTCAGGTTCTAAAGTTGGCTCCTAACAAGTGTTGTATCAAAACAAAAATAATTCTGCTTCCATTGTTCTCATATCTTTCAAACTCACGTGGATGGGTTTTAATCCCTTAGTATAAGTTCTTCTATTAATGCAACCTTACAAAATAGTCGAGATCCTATCTTGTCCCTTATAGAAGCTTTGAAAATGGCAGTAATATTTCTCTTTTATTTGGAATCTGAGAACATAACAAAAAGGTATAAGAACTCTGTAGTACTTTTCTCTTCCCATCTCCTTCATTTTCAAGTCACTTAATAGGAGCTGTGGCTCTTACTTTAGCAAAATGATGTACTGTCTACCACTTATAATGGTTTATTATGCACCAGGAACAAGGTTAAGTACTTGGCACGGCAGTTGACTCTTGAACAACATAGGTTTGAACTGCACAGGTCCGCTTATACACAGATTTTTTTCACTAAATACGTAGTACATGATCCGCTGCTGGTTGAATATATGGATGCAGAACCGTGGCTACGGAGGGCCAACTATAAGTTATACTCAGACTTTTGACTGCTCAGGGGTCGGCGCCCCTAACCTCCGCGTTGTTCAAGGGACAACTATACTTTGATTCAGTTGGTACAACGAAGTAAAGTAGATATTAACATCCACATTCTAAGTGGGGAAACTGACACTTTGGGAAGTCAATTTCACATACGTAGAAAATGAAGGAACCAGAATCTGATCACTGGGCCCCCTCTCATTACGAGGCCACCCTCAAAAACACGTATATGCTGAGTGTGATAGGAAAATGTAGTATCAAGTGAAGCAGTGTGCAGCTTCATCATTGAAAATTAGCTATAAAGATACCACGTTCTCCCTCTGCCTGGGAGACACCAGTGTGTATATGTGCCCATACGAGGGGGTACAGAGATTACCACATGCCCCTGTCACACTTCTAGGAAGGTAGCAAGTCATTGTCTCTCCTCCTTCAAATGTTCCGACCCATCCTTTGCAAATATCCTTCTAAAATGAAGATGGCAGATGAGAAGCAAAGAAAATAACTACACAAGCTGCATGCTAAGTTGCCATATTTCCTAGTTAAGTAAAAAAATTGTCACACCTCACATTCAAGACTGAATTGAATAAGTATCCTGATTAGAGAATTTCATGCATGCACTGAGTCAAATGCCTTTAGTAAATAACATGTTCTTTGAAAAAGAACAAAAGACTGTGTATATGTACTTGGATTTGTTTTCTGTGTGTTTATTAGTATTGCAGTTCTTTGATGAAAGTATCTCCCATTCAGTAGTGTCTTTGTGATCTTCAGTGCCAACAGCCATAAGAAATAGGTATCCAATAATTTAATAACTATTTATTGCAAATTAAGACACTCCCATAGTTTTCTGTGTACCCAGTTTTGGGCTCTGTACCACATCCTCTTCCTTTGAGAACACTGAAAATGAAGACTTGGTTTCAGTCGAGACTTTTTCTGTATCCCACACATCCATCCAGAATGGTTAACATTGCTAAGTTCTTTGTTAAATTAAAATCAAGTGCCTGGCTAAACAACTGAACAAGGAATGTTCAAGAGCCCTTCAGTTTTGATTTTAGCTTGTTGTAATTTTCTAATGATGATGCAAGAGTCTACACGAAGGATGACAGGGCCAGAATTGGGAGCCATTTTGTTGAGAAAACTGGAAATCTTCACCCTTTTAAAAACTTACACTGACTAATATCACATTATTTCTCAAATTAAAGGTTACATTTTCTGCCTCCCTGAGACTAATGTCACTTCTCCAAGATGAGAACAAGAGCGGCATTTGGCATTTGTTTATCCCAAACCCAAATCGCTGACCCTTTGTTTTTAGTACTTTGCCCTTCTGCTTTTGCTTTTTTAATTTGCTTGTGACTCTCTGCTTCCCCCATCTTTTTTTTTTTTGGTACAATGATTCTTACCTTGTCTTTCCCCAGTCCGTTTCTGACCTGGAGAGACGTGCAGCATGTTATTGTAAGGACTTCCCGTGCAGGACATTTGAACGCTAATGACTGGAAAACCAATGCTGCTGGTTTTAAGGGTGAGAACTTCTTTCATATTTTGTCACAGGCAAAATATTTTTATTTTTCCCCCATTTTAAATGGAGAGCAGGAAATAGAACCCATCCAAAGAAACTTTAAATTTTGTACTGACACAGGAAGAGCTTGACCTCTTAGTAGAAAAAAAAAGGCAGGTTCCTTTTTTTTTTTTTTTAATTAAAACAACACATTTAAGGCAGATTTCCTTGGCTTCCCACATCATAGGTCAGTTTCTTTAAAGGTAACCAACTCCCAAGTATTGTCGACCTATGGGGCTCCTCATTAGTTTATTCTTTGGTGTCATCGATTATCTGAGTGGTATTTGTAACAATGTATTTAAAAATTCCTTACCTTCTGGAGTGATTACTTCCAGTTAATAATAGCTGGTATCTTTTGTTCGTTTGAGGGTAGCACTGTTAGTTGCTAGGCTATGCTTTTCTACATATTTTGTTTTTGTTGTTTTTTTTTTTTTCAAACCTTCCACAAACAGAAAAACAGGCATAATTCTAAGACGTTACTTTACATAAACTAAAAGTTCTTATGAAGCTTTATAATGCGCAGTCTTAGGCAAGTATGCACAGGATGTAAATAAGTGCTGACTATTTTTCCCCTGGCTGATGGGGATTCTAGTTCCATCAAGCTGTCTTACTAATGGTAGCCATTTTGTTTATTGTCATCCATAACATATGCTATAATCAAAAGAAAATAATTATATAAAGTAGTTGTCCTATAGTGTGGTATCTTTACTCAGGTTTCAGATCATCTAAATTTTAATCCATTAATTTAATTTACAACAAAGATTACTTTTTGTTGTATCTGCAGACTTAAAGTTACTCCCAAATAATCTTTGTATCATTATGTATCCCTATGGATGAAAAACAGTATTCTATAACATAAGGAATATCTACTTAAAAATTATAGTTTTGGTCCTCAGATCATTGGTAATAAGCTGAATAATCCTGGGCAAGTCATTTAATTTTTCTGGGCCCTAACTTCCGCAACTTAAACAATTTAGAAGCTGAATAATATTATCTACATAGGATATGTTACATATGATTTTAATATATCCTTAGTGTATTATACCCAATGTATATAAATATTCATGCTGAAAATGTAAAGTATAATTTTAAAAATTATTTGCAAGCAGCTTACTAATCATGCTTTGCCAAAACCTATCAATATGCCAGGGAACCAGCGCCATATAAAAGAGTTCTTTGATTAACATCTTCACTGAAGACTTCACTTTTAGAAAACAAGAATGTCCCTCTGCTTTCGAGTATTATCAAATACCTTTCTGTGCTTGTAAACTATATAATGCAGCAGTGTTCGATGAGCTTTGAATCTAAAGCATTGTAAATACCTGTTGGGATCACATTTTCTGAAGCTCAAATCAAGACACGTGGTACCAGAATAGCAAATGTTATGTGCAGCATCAAAAATACTTGAAATTTCAATTGTTCTAGAAAATCCAGGATGTAATTTGCCATATGTATGTTTCCTTTTGATTAGCTTCCCCATGCTTCCAGCCCCGACTCTATAAATGCAGGCAGCCAAGGGGTTGGGTTTGGGGAGGGGGGAAGAAGGGATCAAAACACTGGCTGGTTCAACACTGCAATGAACTTCTTAGTAGAAGGTTCACAGACTAAGTACATTGACCTCAATGAGGCTGAGGAATCAACTTTAACCCAAATAAAAGTCTTAGTTTTACTTACTCCTTTTTGGCAACTTAAAAGGAGCAAATGGTTCTAATAAAAAATGCAACTCTTTTGAAAACCTCTGTTGGTTTTGGAGAGGGGGAAGCCGAGGATTTAGACTAAATCACCAGATCCAAACCTGAGTCTGAAGGGGGCCATACACTGCTTCTGGCAGGGAGGAAAGAGCATTTTACTATTGCACGTGGCAATATTTAGTATAATATTTCACTCTTCTCTTAGATTGCTGCCAAGAGTAACAATTAAAGTTCACTTTTTCATAGATGAATTACCCTGAACCGTCTGGACTCCCAGTGGAATTGTTTTGTAATTTTGTTGATGGCAAGCCCCATATTTCATCTAAACATGATCATAATAAGAATGATTTTTTTAAGAGTTATTTTCTTCCCTACTCGAAGCATTCCCATCCCCTCCCTAGCGTCCCACAAATAAAAGTGATTAAGGCAGAGGCTAGCAGGAGAAGTGACATGCTTCCGGGAAGGAGAGAATGCAGGTCACTAGGACTGGAAAAAGATGGGCTGACTTTTTATGGAATAAGGTCTGAACGAACAAAAAATAGTGAAGGCTTGGAAGAGGTTCATGCAATGAGAGCTCATATTTTAAATTAGGTCAGCCAGCTTTTGCAGGCGTTGCTTAGAGGGAACCATGGCCAAATGTTTCTCCTTAGGAGAAAACGGAAGTTGCCTGCAAGCAGAAGCCTGCAGCCCTGGGTGCACGCCCTCTTACCACTTGGTTTAGTCCTAACGCTGAGTGAGATGTAGGTATGAAACGAATCTGAAAACACCTGTGCTTCCCTGGGCTTGCTGTTGTGCCCTCATGTTGAGAGATTTAACTTATCTGAAGAGTGGGTTTTTGTTTTTGTTTTTGAAACCACCAGAATTTCATAAATTGCTTGGCAGGTACTCTTCTGCAGTGGGGCCGTCAGTACGAACATGTGAATTTCCTTCTCATCAGGTAAAGCAGAAGCAGCTCAGAGTAGCAACCAGTTAGGTTTTGGGGTCTTGCCATCAATAGACTTGATAGTCTTAGTTCTCACTGATAACTTTGGAGAAGCCAACACCCTACAGATCAGTCTTTCCCCAAACCCTGCCAAGTGCATTTCACACAATGTCCTTACATTTCTCCAGACCTACCCATGTGTGGTCCATCCGAAGCAGAGAACAGAGCCAGATGTTATAGGAACTAGACTGGTGTGGGTCTCCTCTCAAGGCAGACTTGATCTACTCTTACCCACATGTGTTATGGGCCTGGATTCCTGGCTCCTGGAAGGGGATTCCCTCCAGAAGCAGCTGCTGGCTTCTTGTTAACTGGCATGGACAGATTGCACTCAGGCAAGGAAGTTGCCCTTGAAGGACCAGCTCCTCTGTGTGTTTCTCTGAGAGCGGAGCTGCATACTGATGAGCTGGGTGCAGAGAACTTTCTTCCCCTTTCTATGTGCTCTCATTATGGTCGCACTCTATAAACGATCCTATATTGAGATCAGTTCACAGTAAAGCCAGCCCCAAAGCTGGAAGCCACTCATCAACATTTTTATGCTAATGGTACCTTAAGTTTTAACAATGTTAATTGAACTAAGATGATTCTGTCTTGATGCTTCTTCAATAATAATAATAATCTCTTATAGTTAAAATATCTTGCAGGAGATTTGTTTTTCAAAATAAACATAATCCAGTGAATGCATACCTATGGAAACGAGCTAGACGTTATTTAGATTTGTTCATCCTGTGAATGATCCTAGCTAAATTTCAGACACCTTTTGACTTTAAACCTCCTCCAGAGATAGTTTCTTTAATAATAAATACCATGCACCTAGCAAAGAATCTGAGATTATGCATGAGAATAGGAAAGTATTTGTATGAGACCACATGAACAGATGTGGTATTTGCCACTACAGAACTAAAATCCAAATTCCAGTATTTTGCTACTGAGCAACATTTGCAGTGCTTGGAGATGACTTTGGCATTACATTGTCTGTTTGGGGGTTTCTTCAATATTACTTCTTTCTCCTTTTTTTCCCTTTGCTCTTACGATAAGTCTTTCCTATTTTTTTCTTTTCTACTGTTTTTAATACCGCCCTCGTGCTCCTGAAAATGTATAGATCAGCTGTAGAATTGAGGGTTTTCCCCATCAGGGTGGTTTTCTTCAAGGAATTTAAGTTATGCAGTCTCTTCATTCATTTATTCACAAATATTTCCTGCGCACCTTCAGCAGGCCAGCCCAACACATGCTGAATGAAGTGCAACCAAAGAGGAGAATTAGAAGGAAACGTCCGGGGCCCCGTGACTTTGCCTGCTCTGATCTGGCTGTGCTGTGATTTACACACAGAACAGAAATTTACACTGCACTTTTTTTAGCCCTTCAGTCAAGCCCAACCAGTCTGCCAGGTTCATGTTTATAGAAGTATCAATGATCCTTCTCTCATCATCTAAAATGCAGCCCAGCCCTGAGCAGCAGAAGGCATCTAAGGAGAGAATCTCTCTTGTGGAGTGTCATTTACATTTTGACCAGCTCCGTTTGTACCTATAGAGTATATGGATCCTAGAGCCATGCAGAGGACTTGAATTCTGCATTCTCCTAGAATCCATGGCTCACAGCCTTTCAGGAAGAACGTGACTCTTTGTTATGAGCCCCTCCCTCCTACTGCTTTAATCTGAAGACCCTGCAGATTTCCCCTTTCTCCCCCAGCCTCCTGGGCTGTGCTCGCTGAATCTTTCCCCCATGTCCTTATCTCTGGTTTGTGGATGCAGTTATGAGAAGTATAATTGAATGCATGCAACATCGGTGCTGTAGTTTTTTTCAAAGTGTCTGTATTTGGATATAATGACTTGATATTTTACAGTTAAACTCTCTTAAATCTAGGAAGAGGAATAGACGTCAGATAATAAATTAGGAACTTCTGTCATCTTTACTAGGCGAAAGAATGAAAAAAATGTCATTGAAAATCAAAAATGACAACTAAGTGAGCGAGGTTACCACGCCTTCCATTTCACTGCCCTCCCAGACTATGTAAGTCTCTTTTTTTCTACCAGCATGTTGCTGAAACCTCCCCATCCTCCACTGACTCTTTCTTTGACCACAACTAAACTACTAGATTTTTTTTTAATTTCTAACTGACTTCCCACCATGGGGAAAACAATTGACAGTCTAACATGACTTCTTAGCCTCAAAGGCCCTTAACTTTTAATAACCTTTATTACTTTTAATCGCCGTCATTTTATTTCCACTGTTAGGGCTGGTAATTTTAAGATGTTCCAATATATTTTTAATACCTACCTGTCTTGCTTTCAGTT